AGAACCAATAGAGGGAGTTCGGCAAGGTTGTAGGATACAAGATGAATATGCAAAAAAGCATTTGTATGCTAATAATGAGCAAACAGGTGGACACCAGAAGTAGAATCACAAAACTACACTTGCTCAAAAGTAAGTGCTTAGGTGTAAGTCTAACAAAACATGTTTAAGACTTGTTTGCTGAAAACTACAAAACACTGATGAAAGAAATCAATGAAGCTCTGTATAAATGGAGAGACATACCATGTTCATGGATTGCAATACCCAGATGTCAATTGCCCTCAAATTGATATATAGAGTTTTTTTTTAATTTCTTAATGTTTATTTATTTTTGAAAGAGAGACAGAGTGTGGAGGGCTGCACAGAGGGAGACAGAATGGGAGGGAGGCTCCAGGCTCCAAGCTGTCAGCACAGAGCCTGACACGGGGCTCAAACCCACGAACTGTGAGATCATGACCTGAGCTGAAGTCAGACGCTTAACCTACTGAGCCACCCCGGCACCCCCCTTTTTTTTCTGTTTTTTTTTCAAATTGATATATAGATTTAATGCAATTCCTATCAAAATCCTGGAAAGATCTTTTATAAATAGAATTATTCTAAAACGTATATGGTAAATCAAACGAACTAAGGAAACTGAAACAATTTTGAAAACAAAGGATAAAATGGGAGGAGATGGTCTACTGGATTTATTATACTACACTTGATCTTAGCCAAAAGGCTGAGAAGTGATCTACTGGGTTTATTATATAGTTAGAGTAGTCAAGACTGTGTGGTACTGGTGGAGGGATAGACACACAGATCAATGCAACAGAGTAGAGAACCCAGAAATAGACCCACACAAATATGTCCGATTGATTTTTAGCATTTTTATTTGTAGTAAGATACGCATAAAATTTATAATTTTTATGGAAGTTGATAATGCAACGGCAATTAGTATCTTGTAATGTTGTGTAACCGTCACTGTCTATTTGCAGAACTTTCCGTCACTCCAAATGGTAACTCCATACCCATCAGCAATCTCCTTACCCCTTCCCCCCAGCCCCAATCCCCTCTGTGGATTTGCCTCCTCTGGGTATTTCATATAAATGAAATCATACAATAAGTGGCCTTTTATGTCTGGCTTATTTCACTTAGCATAATGTTTTTGAGGTGTATCCACATTGTAATGCATGTCAACACTTCATCTTTTTTCATGGCTGAATAATTCTGTTGTGGACAGACCACATTTGATTGATCCATTCTTCTGTAGACGAATATCTGGGTTATTTCCACCCTTTAGCTGTGGTGAGTAATGCTGCTGTGAGCATTTGTGTACCCATTTTTGTTTGAACAACTCCTTTCCGTTCTTGGGGGGTATATCTGGGAGGGGGCCGGTTGGGTCATATGGTAATTCTTATTTAAGAACTTAGCATATTGGGGCCCCCAGCTGGCTCAGTCAATGGAGCATGCAACTCTTGATCTCGGGGTTGTGGGTTCCAGCCTCACACTGGATGTGATTACTTAAAAATAAAATCTTAAGGGGCTCCTGGCTGGCTCAGTTGGTTAAGCATCTGACTTTGGCTCAGGTCATGATCTCTCATTTTGTGGGTTCGAGCCCCGCGTCGGGCTCTGTGCTGACAGCTCAGAGCCTGGACTTGCTTCAGATTCTGTGTCTCCCTCTCTCTCTGCCTCTCTCTCTCTCTCTCTCTCAAAATAAAACAAATTAATTAATTAAAAATAATATAAAATCAAATCTTAAAAAAAATTAACCTATTAAGAAACTTCTTGAATCACCCAACCTTCTTCTCAGTGGAGGCACCATTTTGCATTCTGCCATCAGTACAGGAGCACTCCGATTTCTCCAGGGTTTCGCCAACACTTTCTTTTCTGTCTTTTGAGAATGGCTCTCCTACTGGGGGTGCGGTGGTACCTCATTTGGCTTTAATTTGCACCCCCTAATGAGTAATGATGTGGAGCATCTTTCATGGGCAAACTGAGACCCAGAAAGCGTCCCACAGCTAGCTGGTGGCTGAGAGACACTGTCACCAGGAGACTGAACCTGCCCTGATACCCCACCAGCTGGGAAGTCCCCAGGGGACAGGTCCCAGGGCCCCTCCTGCCCTGGTTCCCGAGCCGAGGCCTGGGCTGGTGTTCTAAGGCTCCTGAGGGACCTTGTGCCTCCTCACCGCTGGGAGCCTAGCCCTTTCCAGGGAACCCCTTGGACTGAAGCGTCCCTCTGCGGCAGGAGAGAAGATCACTGTGTCCGGGCTTCTTTGAGGGAGCCGAGGCCCAGCGGCCAAGGAGCAGGTCCCTCTAGGCCCCACCCTACCCTGCCGCAGGGACCTCGCTCATCCCCAATCTGTGGGCACTTCACACGGGAAGGGTTCCCCCCTCTCTGCGGCTGACATACCCAACATGGCCTGGGCACGTGAGGAGTGTCCTGTGTGCTGAGAGCATGGGCCCAGACACTATCCACCCATGGCTATTGACTTGCTGTGTGACATTGGTCAAGTTCCTTAGCCTCTCTGATCCTCACCCCCTTCATGTGTAGAATGGGGGTAATAACGCTGGCCTAACAGGGCGGTTCTGAGATTGAGTGTGATTGCAACATGCCCACAACAGGGCGTGGTGCAGGGTGGGCTAGCCATGTCTGAAACATAAAACGACCGTGCTGGAGGAAGAGACGCCTCAGAGGCGAGGACAGAGGCTTAGATGGCCCATCAAGGGGCAGGCATGTCGCCGTGCCCGGTGGCTCGCCGAGGCACAGAGTGAGGCTCAGCCCCACGAGAGGAGTGACCAGCCGAAGGCAGGGCGGGGCCCCCTGCCCGGCCCCTCTGTGGGTCTCACAGGCCGCCCCCACCAGCCCCGGTGGCTCCAGGTCACCTGCAGCGAGGGGTCGCCAGGGAAACCCCCCGCCTGGCGGAAAGTCCAAAATTCTCCAAGGAGCCTCTTTGCAGAGCCAGGCCTGGCTGCTGACACAGGTGCACCCACAAGGCTTTCATGGCTCCAGAAAAGCGAGGTGAAGACCTTGGTATTGTTGGCCGTTTCTAATCCCCCGGGGACCGTTGTCTGGTGGCTAAAGTGTCCCTTGGTCAGTCGGCCACCGGGGAAAACTCTGCCGAGCGTGGAGTGGCACTGGGGGGCAGCCTGGCCCAAAGGAGGTGGACGCTGAGCCCCGGGCCCCAGAGCCCCGGGTCCTTTATGTGAGAACTCTGCAGCTGGCGGGCCCAGCAGGTGCCACGAAGGAGCTTTGCTCCCTGAGACCCGACCCCCACGAGTGAGGACACTAGGGCTGCCCCAGAGGACAGGGCGTTCAGGAGCGACTTCGACTTCTGCTTTCCTTCAGGTGCTTCCGTGGATGTACACGTGCCAGAGGGCACAGGAAAAGGCCAGGAGGCGGCTGCCAGGCCCGGGCTGGGGCGAGCCCGTGCCCTCCGAGAGGGCAGCCCCGGTGTGGGCCCGAGGGGGCGTCCCCTCTGGGTGTCTGCGGGTCGCACAGTGCGGGACAGGCGGGCCCGCCCCAAGTCCCACACCTCCACTGCCACCACCCACAGCACCGCAGCCCGGGGGCTCGGAGCCCCAGAGGCGGGCAGCCCCAGGGCCCTGCTCCCCGGCGAGAGCCCCAGAACATTCCATGGCAGCCCCGGCCTGTTCTGAGCCTCACTGCCCTCACAGGGCCCAGCTCTCTGAGGTGACCAGCCCCACAGCCCCACCACTCCCGCCCCACAGAGCCCAATCTTGCTCCCACACGCCCCAGGACACTGCCCTGGGACAGCCTCAGCTTGTCTAGGACTGAACTTCCAGGGACCCCGGCCTGGAGGGGGGGACACACCGAGACAGGACTCCCGTGTCAGCTCCCCAGCCCGAGCTCCCACGTCAGTATAGAAATCCTGGCCCCTCTGCACGCGACGCTGTGCTGACCCCAGGCTTCCTGGCACCTGCGCTCACCTCCAGCCCCGCCCCAGCCTGACCAGATCCTTCTTCCGGAAGTCCTCTTGTGGCTCTGTGGCTGGGCCCAGGGACGGCCTGGCCCCTCTGCCCCCCGCCACACTGGGCCGCCATGGGTGACCATCTTGCAGACCCCAGTCCCCGGCCCTTGCCCGCCATAGCCTGGGATGCGGCCCCCCTCTGCTGCAACCCCCTCTGGGACACCGCCCCCCAGCCTCTGTCGCCAGCCCTAGCAGGCTCCTGGGGCGTCCCTCCCTTCCCCCGGGGCTGTGAGCGGGACAAGGCACGCACTGGCCTCAGTCCACGGGGTCAGCTGCCTTTTTTCTAACACACCTGGAGGAAGGGGAGGGTAGGGGGCAGCTGGGTCCCCCAGTGGGGGATGTGCTCAAGTTAGAGATGAGGGACTGAGGCTCAGAGAAGGAAAACGACTCGCCCAGCATCACACAGCCTCCAAGCGACGCCCACTGCTGTGCCCACTGACACTCGTCATATGCCCGGTCCTCCATCAGACAGGGACTCTTCCGTCTGACCCCCCTACAGCCCGGCCCCAGGGCTCTGAGCTGGCGCAGTGGGGATGGTAATGCCCCCTCCCCACCTGGGACGCTGCCCCCGTCCGCCCCACGGTCCCCGGAGCACCTGGACAGTGCCCGCTGGTGCCCAAGACACGGGGCCCCAGGTGAGGCCGAGGGCACCTGTCTGCCCTGGCTGTCTCCCATTGGAACAGAACCACAGCTGGGGAGTTGACAGCCCTCCCAGCCCTCTCATGGAGGGGTTGGGCCCTGGTCCGGTCCGGAAGCTTCCTTTACAGAAGAAAGGGAAGCCAGCAGCCTGCTGGCAGGTGTGAATGGAGCGGATGGGACCTTCTCTTTACTGGGTCACAGGGAAGTTTCATCCCTGCCCCTCCCTCCCGCCCTGATTGGCTCAAGGGTAACACGGCCTTTGCTCTGTCCTCGGGGAGCCTAGTATAATAGAGACGGGCTCTGGCTCACAGAGGTGCCCCCCCAGGTGCGCCTGACCAGGGGTGCCCGCCCGGGAGCCCGGCAGGTCAGGGGCAGCGCGGGGGCCAGAAGGCAGAGATGGCCCAGACACCCCACAAGTCCAGTGGTACCCCAAGGCCGCGGGACCCCAGGCGGGGAGAGGGGGCCCCCAGCCCCGCGCCCCCAGACCCCGCGACGGCGGGTGAGGCCCAGGCAGGTGGGGACACGGTGCTTCGTCACCTCCTGAGGCTGTACCGCACTGAGATCGCCATGGCTGTGGACAGCGCCTTCCCGCTGCTGCACGCGCTGGCTGACCACGACGTGGTCCCCGAGGACAAGTTCCAGGTGGGCCCAGACAGACCCCCAATGTCCCCCTCGCCTTCCCCAAGCCTTGCCCTCCGGCCAGCCAGTGTCTGGCAAGATGAGCTCCAGACGGACCCCGCCCCGCCCGTGGGGGGGGAAGGAAGGGGGGTGTGGGCGGGCTGTTTTGGTGAAGAGGAGAAGGCACCGGGTCTCCAGGGCGAATTCCAGCGCCTCCCCGGCGCCCCTGCCCAGCCCTCCTCAAGCTGCCCTCTAAGCTAGGGGCTCCCCTAGGATGAGTTCCAGGTGGGCCTTCTTCACCCCCAGCACCCCCAGGCAGCCTCGTGCCCGCTGCAAGCTGAGGGCATGGACACGGTGCCCAGGTCACCTGCAGCTCCCTCTGGGATGGTGTTCTGCCCTCCAGAAAGACAGAAGGGGTGTCGGGAGGTGGGGGTGCCGGGGAGGAGGGGGGCGGGAGGAGGGGGGAGTCAGGAGGAGGGGGGAGTGTGGAGTGGTGGGGGTCAGGAGGCGGGCGCTGTGGAGGGGGGGCAGGAGGTGGGGCCTCCCAGCCCCCACTCTTGCTTCAGGAGACCCTGCGCCTGAAGGAGAAGGAAGGCTGCCCACAGGCCTTCCACGCACTCGTTTCGTGGCTTCTGACCCAAGACGCAGCTGCCATCCTGGACTTCTGGAGGGTTCTCTTTAAGGACTACAATCTGGAGAGATATGCCCGGCTGCAGCCCATCCTAGACTGTTTCCCCAAAGGTCGGGGGGGGGGATGCTGTGGGAGGAACTGGGGTTCTGCGGGAGCCGGACTGTAAAAGGGAGGGGGGCGGCCAGGGAGCCCCCCGACACCACCGAGTACCGTCCTGGCTCCTGAGCGTCAAAGGGCCGGCTCTCGCGCACCTTGCCAGGGCGTCGGCTCTGGTCTTGAGGCCCGGTCCCTGCTCGCCCCGCAGACGTGGACCTCAGCCAGCCGAGGAAGGGGAGAAAGCCCCCGACGGGCCCCAAGGCCCCAGTGCTGCTGCCCAGACCTCCCTCCAAGAGGAAGGCCCTGGAGGAGCCCAGGGCCGCCCCACCCGGGGCACTGTCTCCTAGGGGCACCTCCAACCCAGGTATCTGGTTGGAGGTACTGGTCAGTCACAGACGGCCCGACACCACTGGCCGTCCCCCTCCTGCCTTGCCGTGGAGCCCCCCTCTCCCCACCACCCCGGCCAGCCGCCGGGGCTGCGGAGAATCCCTGTGGGTGCTTCGTGGGTGAGCCCAGCCGGCCCTCGTCCCAGGACCCCGAGAAGTAGGCAGGTGGGGGTCACTTCCTTTTACTGACGGGGACACCAGAGCCGGTAAAGCAAGGGGACCACGGGAGTTGGGAGGCCCCGCCCGCATGCATGCGCCCTCGGCCGCCAGCATTCACCACCCCCCCCCACCTCCATGGGGAGTGGAGGGCCAGGCTGGTGTGGCTCCCCCTGCACACTCCCCCTGCAGGCTCCCAGGCAAAGGCCAAGCACCCCAGGAAGCCAGAGAGCAACGCAGAGCCGCAGCGCCCCCTGCTGGGGAACGGTGAGCCAGGTTCCCGACCTCCTGGGCTGGGGTCACCGAGTCAAGGGCGCAGTGGGGTGCTGCCCTCTGCCGGCCTGTCCTGGGAGCTGGGACCCTGCAGGCCTGGCATGTCACCCCACAGCCTTGGCTGCACAGCCTCACTGGGGAAAGAGGGGCACCTCGGGTTACCCCACGTGTGCCCGTCTCAGTGTCTCCGTCCTCAGGGCCGGCCCAGACTGTGCTTCCTCCGCAGAATCCTTCTTGGTCCCTCAGCCGGATGAAGCCTGGCCCCTTTCTGTCCCCTCCTTGCCCCAGGGTGGGGGGGTCCCGGAGACCGGAGTCACCTGACCTGAAGACAGACCCTGGGAACCCGGCCTCCCTCCCAGCACCGCCCGGGGCCATGTCCTGGGGGTCCCTGTCCGGCCCTGCCTGCCGTGTTTGGTCAGCTCGGATGCCACACTCCACACGGACACACACACCACACAGCCTCACCCCCCCACACACACCCATGGCCTGTTTTTGCACTTACACATGGGCCGGCTGGCTGTCTGTCCGTGGAAGGGCTGGGCCCCCTCCAAGGCCTGCCCTGGACAGAAGGAAAGGCTTCCGCAGCCCAGGCGCCTCTCGCTCCCCACGGCCTGCAGGGAGGGGTTGCTCAGGGGCCGTCTTTCCAATCGATGACCCCCCCTCGCCCCCCGCCCTGTGCTCCCTTCCCCAGGAATTCAGACCATGTCGTCCACTTCGGTCCAGAGAGCCGTGACCGTGTCGTCTGGGGACATCCCCGGAGCCCATGGGGCAGTGGAGGGCATCCTCATCCAGCAGGTGTTTGAGTCAGGTAGACGGCACTGCCAGGCCAGGGTGCTGCCAGGGGGACGCAGGCCCCAGGTGCACGTGCAGCTGGCGCGCAGGTGGCCACCTCTGCAGGGGGGACGGGCACCGAGGGCGTCCCTCAGGGTGGGGGCTCCTGGGCTTCTGGGAGGTCGGCGGTCCAGGGCCACCTCCCGGGTGACTCTGCCCACCCGGAGGGGCCCCTCAGGGTCTTGGGCTCATCCCCTTCCGGGAAGTTCTCCAGCACCTGCCCCACCCCCATACCACCCCCTTCCCCTCCCTCCTGCTGGACGCTGGCCAGGGATGCTGCGGACGGCCAGGGCCAGCTGGCCTCCGGGAGCCAATGCGGGCCCTGGTCTCACCCCCCAGGGAGGGTCCCGGGGACCCCGAAGTAGTTCACCATGGCAGTTATAACCAGTGGCCACGCACCAGGCCCTTAAAACAGCAGGAGTTTCCAAAGTGGAGACGTGGGCGGCCGTGCTCCCTCCGGAGGCCCCGGGGCAGAGTCCTCCCTGCCTCTCCCCGCAAGCAGTCCTTGCTACGGGCCCCACCGCCGCGGCCACTGCCCCCAAGTCTCAGGGTGTCCTCCCTGTATCTGTCTGCGTCCTCTCCACTCTTGCTGAGGACACCCGTCACTGGACTCAGTGTCCCTCGGGAGCCCATATTAACTAATCCCATCACCAAAGACCCTGCTTCCAAATAAGGCCACACTCTGAGATTCCAGGTGGACACGCTTGGCCGGGTGCAGCACCCCCTTCGCCCCCTGCAGAGGACCCCTGCTGTGCCCAGGACCCTGGTCCCAGAGCTGCCTGGGGCTGGGCGGTGGGGGGTGGGGAGCAGCCAGCTGCAGAGTGCCCCCCCACCCCACCCCCCCACCTCTCTGTCCCCCCACTCTGCCCCCCACCCTCCTGGGCCTCCCAGGCCAGCCAGGGTGGCTCCTCCTCCCAGGTGGCTCCAAGAAGTGCATCCAGGTTGGGGGGGAGTTTTATACTCCCAGCAAGTTCGAAGACCCCGGTGCGGGGAAGAACAAGGCCCGTAGCGGTGGCCCAAAGACCCTGGTCCGAGCCAAGGGGACCCAGGCTTCCGCCCCTGTAAGCCCTGCCCTTGATAGCCACCCCCCAACACAGAGCTCAGCTGGGGCTGGGCCTGCCCAGAGGGCGCTCCGCACTCCGGTGACCCGCCCCCTTCTCCCTAGCAGGGTGGAGGCGACCAGAGAGCAGGCGCACAGGGCAGGGTGCAGGCCCCTCCCGCCCTCCCCAGCGAGCCCCAGCCCCACCAGGTAATGCCCAGGCCACAGTGGAACTCCCTCGTCTCCACCGTCCACAGGGGGTCCCTCTGCCCCTTTGCCCCTGTCCAGGGCTCTCCCTTGGGTGATGAGGACGGAGCCTTAAGCTTCTGTTCACAGGGTCGAGCTTCCTTGTTTAGTAACAGTTTTCCTGATAGCACACAACTTGTGTTCAAATAACTCAGAGAAAGTGAGTCCTACCAGGTGTTTAAAACCATGGGTCTGAGCTGGGTGCCCTTGTTCCCGGTCTCACAGTCTCCCAGCAGGCCAGGGGGTGGGGAGGTGGCCCCTCCTGGGAGCCAGGGACCTGAGCATCCAGCACAGCACAGAAACCACCACAGATCTGACCGCCTCCGGCCCCCCGCCAGGCGCTGTTGGGCCCCGGGCGCCCAGGAGGGAGCAGGACCCGTGTCCCCCTGCCCCCCTCCAAGCTCCCGGCTGGCAGGATCAGGGGGTGATTACAGTGAGCGAGCTCATCGCTGTGCAGGGTGGCCTGGCCTGGAGGAGGCATCCCGGAGGGCCCTGTGGTGCCATTCAGGCAGGGGCACAGGCAGCGTCCAGGCTCCAGGCGCGGGGACGGCGGGTGCTTGGGGCTGATGGCAACGCCGCCGGTCATAGCTCCACTGCGCTGTGAAGAAGGGCGTGCGGGGTGGGCAGTGTGGACGCTGCTGGGGACACAGGCACCCACGGGAAACGGGGCATTCTGGAGGCTCCGTCCTCCCAAGAGGGATGGCCTGGCCTGGGGGTGTGCGCAGGGGACTAGGATCTCCGAGAGGGAGAGTGTCGTGGGGGAGGGCTGGGGCAGGCAGGGGACTTGGGGGCCCCTGGGGATGCCGCAGCGGGGCTGTTGCGAGAGGTTCTCGGGGAGGGCGCCGCGCCTCCCCGGATCTCCCAGAGGATACGCGTGTCTCTTGCCCGTGTCAGAAGAACGAGGATGAGTGTGCCGTGTGCCGGGACGGTGGGGAGCTCATCTGCTGTGACGGCTGCCCCCGGGCCTTCCACCTGGCCTGCCTGTCCCCGCCGCTCCGGGAGATTCCCAGGTGAGCCCGGCAGGCCGCTCTCCGCCCCCAGCTGGCTTCACGGCCACTTCTGCCCGACTGACCTGGGTGTGGGGCTGCCTGGAAGTGTCTCTGTTCGGGTCACCCAGGCTGGGTCCTCCCAGCCTGGCCAGCAGGGCCCCAGAGGGCAGAGAAGCAGAATGAGGCCCCCCAGTGAAGAGCGGCCACCTTGTCCCATCTCACCACACACCCCCAGCCCAAAGTCCCACAAGCAGCCGGCCCCCCTCCTCCAAACAAGGTCCTACTTGAAGTCGGGCAGAGTGGGTGCCCGTCCTGGGCAGGGCCAGAGTCCTCCCGCGTCTACCTCCTGGCGCTCCCTTCCCCCCCGCCCACCGCGTCCTGCCCTCTACTGCCAGCTCCCACGGGTGACCACAGCTGGCAGGGAAGAGCCTGCGTGGGAGAAGTGACCCACCTTCGAGCCCTGGCCCTGCCCCTGCTCCCTGAGTGGCCTTCACCAGGCCACTTGTCTCTGATGCTTGTCACTAAATGAGGGCGTTCAGCCAAGGTCATCATTCGCCTCCAGGGGTGGGGCGGTCATCTTCTCTTTTTTCCTGCTTTTGACCGTGTCCCCTTCTGCTGGGCACTGTCCTCCTTGCGGAAACGGGGGTGGGTCCCCAGTTCAGAGAGGTCCCGTCGGGAGGGCAAGGCCAGCGAGAGCCACGCACGGGGCTCTGCAGGTCAACAGATGTCCGGATTCTTGGGGCTCAGCAGAGGGAACATTGACCATCCTGGCAAGACCCACCCCCCCCCCCCCCCCCGGGGCTCAGCCTCCCAGCCTCCTGGGCCCTCCTGCTCACTGGCCGGGGCAGTCCTCCCATCCTGGCTCTGCCCACTGTCCAGCCTGGGCCTCGGTTTCCCCATCTGCGAAAGGAAAGTGGCAACGTGGAGGAGACCTCAGGCCTCCCCTGCCTGTGTATCTGGGAGTCTGTGGTCCCCCCTGTCCCTCTTGCATGTCTTTGGCTGGTGACCACGTGGGCCACGTGAGCAGTGGGACCTGGAGGTGCTACAGTTGTCTCCGGGGAGGAGGCCAGCGGGACCCTCCCCAGGCCGAGGAGCCCCAGCCCCAGGAGCCGCCCGCGGAGACCCAGGTACGCCCGGGCCCAGGCCCAGGCCCACCGCAGGCCCCCCACCCCCACCCCGCTCCCCAGCCACTCCCATGGGTGGGGCCCCAGGCTGGGAACCGGGACTCCCCACCCCCGGCCTGGCCTCATCAGCTTGGCTTCTAACACTGGGAAATGGCTCCATGTGGGGCCTTAGCTCTGTCACCCGGCTCAGGGGATGCACTTTGGCTACTAATAACATTCTCTAAAAATGTTTTAAGCGTTTTGTTGCAGCAGAGACAGGAATGATACAACACACGTCCAGGTAGATCCGGAGTCCTCCCTGACAGCCCGTGAGGGCCACGGGCACCCCGTCTGTAGATGGCAAAAGGGTCAAGTACCTTGCTGAGGACACAGAGCCAGGAGCTTCACCCAAACCTTTCCAACCCCATGTGGGGTTCCCACGCCAGCCCCCGGGGCTTTCCCGGGTCCCAGTGATCGCTGACTCCCTGGGTGGTGAGGCACAGGCCACCGTGGCCTCTCCAAGCACCGGCCCTCTGCTTCCAGGTCCTCCTGGGGCTGAAGCTGACGGGGGAAGAGGCCAAGGGACTGTCCAGGGAGCCCTCAGCCGGGATGGACGCTGCCGGCCCCTACAAGCACCTGCTGGCCCCGCCTTCTGCAGCCCCCTTGCCAGTGCTGAACCCCTCAGCCCTGCGCCCCCTACTGTGTGTGGGCCCCGAGGGGCAGCAGGTGAGGGGGTGCTGAGGTGGGGGTGGCTGTTTTCTGGGAGCTCAGGGCCCGCAGGACAACCAGACGGAGCCTAAATAGGAGGAGTGACATGCGGGGAAGGGGGGCAGTAGTCTGGGGGGTTGGGGTCAGGGCTGAGGGAGGAGGAGCCAGACGGGGGTGGGGGGGGCAGGGGTTGTGCACGCAGAACCAGGGAGGGGAGGCTCCCGGAGGGATTCCAGCAGGGGTGATACATTCCGCCCCGGTTCCTGGAACCCCTACCCCAGCCCACCCTCACATGGACAGGACAATAAGGGAGGCGGTTCTGGGGTCCCCTTGACCAGCCCTAAAGGGGGTCCGGGTCCACTAAGGCGGAGCAAGGTCTCTCGGGACTGCAGAGCAAAGGTGCTGGGTGTCGCTGGGCTCCCGGGGGCGGGGCAGAGGGCGTGGGCGCCCCTCCCCCCCACCGTGACCACTCTGTCCCCCCACAGGGCCCGGCAGGTGCGCGGTGCGGCGTGTGCGGGGACGGCGCGGACGCGCTGCGGTGCGCGCACTGCGCCGCCGCCTTCCACTGGCGCTGCCACTTCCCCGCGGGCGCAGCGCGGCCCGGGTGAGCGCGGCGGCTTGGGCGCAGGAGCGGGAGGGACACCGCGGGGGACCGGCAGCCCACGACACCATCCTCCGCTGTGCGCAGGGCCGTCCCGCGCTGCCGATCCTGCTCCGGAGACACTGCCCCGGCCCCCGAGGAGGGCGCGCCCGCCCCGACGCCCGCCCGAGCCGCGCCAGGGCCCGCCAAGGTCAGTGCTGCCCAGGGAGGCGGGGACCCCGCGGGGTCGAGGTGGCGGGCACACCTCCAGGGACACTCGAGTGCCAACTTCGCGGATGCGCCGCGACCCGTGGCCCTGCGTTCACTGTTTCATACACTTTAGTTGTTTAAATAGCTTCCCTTCGGATCACGTGTGTTGGAAACTAGCGGCTGTGGGATGGCTGTTCTTTCGTGATGACTGAGCCAGGGCCCCCCCTAGGCCCCCTTCTCCCAGCGCAAGGCCCCCCCAGGCCCCTGGTCTCCCAGCGCAGGGCTCCCCCCAGGCCTCCTTCTCCCAGCGCCTGGGGCGCACGATCCCCACAGTGGGGTGGGGGGTGAAGCGGCCGCAGCAAGAAGGCTCCACCGGGGATGAGCAAGCCCACTTGACTCCCCAGTGTGACCCCAGTCCCCCCGTGGCCCTGCGCCGGGGCCCTGTCAAGCCCCATCCTGCGGCCGGGAGCCGTCTGGGAGAAGTGGCCTCCCTCTGTCCTCCTACCCAGCAGTCACCCCGGGCTCCCTCAGAACCCGTGTGTTCCCAGGAGCCTCGAGGTGGCGCACCTCATCCTGCCTGACCGTGTCCCTGCTGCGCCACCCCCAAGAACCTCTCAGGGCCCTGGGTGGTGGCAAGTCCTACCCCACCGGTGCCCCGGCGTGCTCCCCAGCCGCGCCGCATCCTCCCACGAACACACTGTGCCTGTGCGATGCCAGCCCAGGCACGGGGGCCCCTGTTCTGCCCACGAGGGGGCTTATGTGCACGCCCACGGCTCAGCCCACACCTGTGCGCGCCCTGCCGGGTGCCACCCCGCCCCAGAGAGGGTCCCTCCCTCCAGAAGATGCTTCTTCATTGACTCTTGGGTTCTTTTCTCAATTTAGCAAAGACCCCCTTGTCTTTGTGATGTAAAATGTAACGACTTTGGAGACTAAGAAGTCCCAGCCCCTTGGCTCCCTTCCCAGGGGCTGTCCTGAAAATGTGGGTGTGGCCCCAGTGCTTTCCCCAGCAGCACCCCCCCCCCGCCCCCACCTTGGAGCTGGGTCCCTTTTCACGCCCCAGGGGCTGATGTTGCCTCTCAGGGCCTGTGTTTAGGAGCTCAGATTTGGCTATTTTCAGGCAGAACCTGGCAGTCTCATGTGGGTCCACTTAGCATGGTCCTCTCTCCCTCCTAGGCTGTTCATGGACAGCCTGCTGCTGGGCTCTGGCCCCTTAAGGGGGGGGGTTGGGTGGGAGGGGGCACGGTTGGCCCTGGCAATGCTAGTCGGATGGGTGAATGGCTGGCACCACACCAGACGCTTTCCTCTTTGGGCCTCAGTTTCTCCATCCCCGACGGTCCCTTCTAGCTGGTTCTGAGTCACCTGGCTTTCCCCAGAAGGTTGCATGCAGCACGTGGAGGCAGGCAGGCCTGGGGGCCTTGGGCAGCCAGCTTCCAGAGCCCCAAGCTCGCTCGTGCCCACGACCCTGGCAGGAGCTGGGTGTTAGAATTCAGCTCCCAGGGCCCTGCTGGGGGCAGCATGCCCTCTGTCCTGGCATTAGCCACTGTCCCCTAGACCCTTGTTGCCTCTGCGTGGTGTGCCGCTTTGTTCCAGCTGTGCCCGGCAGGGGTGTGGGAGGTGGGCTGACCTCCCTTTCCTGGGCTGCAGGCAGGGGACAGTTCTGCTGGTCACGAGCCGGGTGTGCACCGGGACGACCTGGAATCCCTCCTAAGCGAGGTAATGCGTCACCTGGCTGGGGCTCCTCCTTCTCCTCCCCTCCCCCCACCCAGCCCCAAGCAGCCAGAGCCAGAGGAGGGCCTGGGAGACCCTGCTGGGTGCACTGAGCACCACAGGCCCAGGCTGCTTCCGGCACATGCGGGAGCCCCTAGCGCGCAAAGGAGCTGAAAGGAGCCCCTGAGCCCTTTCTGCTTCTAGCAGAAAGTTCCCAGATCTGGGGTGGGAGGGGCAGTGGCTGCAGGACCTCAGCACCAGCACCGCTGAAGCCTGGCTCTGATGCCATGACTCCCCCTGGGGGGGGGGAGGTGGGCGCCCCGGAACCTCTGCCTCTGGTGGACCTCTCACGGCCCCTCCCAGCCCCAGCCTCTCCACCCTAAGATGAACAGCTATAGTCGCTGTGAAGAAAATGGGCCTTTTTGGGGTTCCATCTTCTTTTGACAGGAGGTCAGACTCCTCCAGCCATTCCCACACCCAGGTGGCCCGCCCGTGGCCTCCTGGGGCCATGGGGCCCTGCCCGGTGTGGCGGGCTGGGCACGGGTGGGTCTCAGTGCAGGAGTCTTTCAGGGTGACCCCGGGCACTGGATGTTGGCCCTGTGGCTCTGGCGGGGCGGTCGCCTGATGCCGTTGGAGAAAGGGGGCGGTCGCCCCATTATGCTGGAACGTTGGGTCTCCCCGTGCCCCCTCCGTCCTGCGGGAGCACACGATGGAAGAACCGGTCTTGCCTCGGAGCCGGGAAGAAGACGGAGGCAGAGGAGCCGTGGCGGCCGTGCCCCGTGTTTGCAGGATGCTATGGCAGAGCACCAAAAGAGGAGTCCTCCCTCACCTGACGTGCCCTGCGGTGCTTCAGGCCTCAGTTTCCCCACCTGTGACTAGGAGGGGCGGGATGCTCGTGACTCCAGGGGACGCTGGAGCCCACGGTGTGTGCACCTGTCCCCTGGGGGCTCGGGCAGGCCTCCCAGTCCTCTGCGCTCCTGTCTTCCAGCACTCCTTCGACGGCATCCTGCAGTGGGCCATCCAGAGCATGGCCCGCCCGCTGGCCGAGGCGCCCACCTTCCCCTCCTGATCCAGCGCGGCGTGGGTCTGCGGGGCAGCACCGGGGGAGGGGAGGCCCCCGTAGACGCGGCCTCAGCTGAGAGCGGACCCTCCCTCCCATCTCCGAATCAACAGATGCCAGCGAGTTCCCACTCGTGCTCACGGTGACCCGCCCTGAGAGGGACCGACGGGACACGCCTCCCATCCCCGGAAGCTGGTCACATTAGGACTGAGAAAAACCGAAAGGTCCGGGTGTTGCCCACACTGGGCCCGCAGACACAGCCCGTCTTCGTGGACACGCAGAGCGCCGTGCGCACTGAAATAAAAACCACTTCTGTGGGGTTTCGATGTGCTCTTCACGGGGTGTGTTTGCTTTGGGGGCTCCGTGCCCCTGTGTTTCTGCTGCCTGAAGTGTCGGTCACGCTGGCTGGAAGGGAGACGCCCGCAGGTGGGAACGGCCCCCAGAAGTGGACAACGTGCTCCTGTGTCTGCTGGGAGCACTCCAGCGCTCCCCGGAGCCCCCAGTACGGTCCAAGCGTGAGGTCTGGGCCCGCCCACCTCTGCTGCACCCCCATGGGCTCCTCCCTCCTCCCCCGTCCTAGGGCCCAGCTCATCCCCACCCCAGGGCCTTGGCACGTCTGTTTCCTCATCACGATACGTCCCTTTCAGTGCCACCTCCTCGTCCGGTCGGACATTTACTCGAGAAAGCTTTGTTGTGGGTCATCTCTACGGTGCACATCATTCTGGCACGGGTGTCTGAGGGGGGTATTCCAGTGGGAGGGACAGATCACGTGCCAGAAGCAGGTGACCTCAGGCAGGGTGACCACCGTGGAGCATGAAGCAGGACGAGGTGGAGATGGGAGCAGGCAGGGTGTGAGGGACAGACAGGAAGTCAGGCGGTTGGGGGGCAGCAGGCCACGCGGACAGCACCGTGCCTTACTTTCCTCACGGCACCTGCCACAGTCAGAAGACGGGCCGTGGCTGGGGGCCCGGGACCCAGGACCCTGTGTAGGGCACAGCTGCTGGGGTGGTGTTGGCAGAAGATGTCAGTGCTGCTAGAGCCCCCACCTGCAGGGACCCCGTGGTAGAACGCCCGGATGTGGAGGGAGGGAGTGGCCACAGGCCTTGCCACGTGTGGGCTGCAGAGCTGGGACACGTGTCTTTCCCAGCCCGGGAAAGCTCAGGTGGGGACAACAGCAGGAGGAGGGTCCCACGGCCCACGGCCTCTCAGGGGTCTGGCTGTCACTCCCGAGACCTCCAGGGCCCCCTTTGGAGGGGGGAGGGGCAGGCCTACCTGGGACAGCAGTGCTGAAGGTCCCGTCAGGCTCAGAGGGTGGGTCACATTCCTGTCCGGGACAGACAGAGACAAGGATTGGGAGGGAGGCCACACGCAGGCCCAGGCTCGCTCGCCCTGTGCCGCGCATGGACGGGGGTTGCAGAAGGACCCCACCCAGGCAGGGTGGGGGAGGCCGGGCAGGGGCTTGCGCGCCTGTCTTGCGTCTGTCACTCCTGGCCCGGTGCCAGCCTGCGTTCCCATCGCCTGGAACCTTCCCCGGGGGGTATCTGGAACCGTGAACAGTAACACAAGTGACCAGGGCGGCCTCCCAGGTGGGCCCGGCCCAGAGCTGACATTCCCGCAGCGATCCTGTGGCTACTTGTTCTTGTCTGTCTCTCTGCGGGGGCGAAGTCTGTCTGGCTCGTCCAGCTCTTGAACCGCGGCCGCCTTTGTCATACCCTGAAGCGTCTGTGTGCCAAGCACGTGAGCGGTTCGTGCTGGAATGAGCCAGCATCACGGGTCTGGCAGACACACACCAGCCTCACTGTTTTCCCGCGGTGGACGGGGTGGGGGGGGGGGGGGGCACAGGCAGCAAGCTGTCATTCTCTGTCCTGGAGGCTGCATGTCCGAGGACCAGGCAGGGGCGGGGCTGGCTCTGTCCTCCCCACCCCCGCCCCGCCATAGTCCTCACCTGGCCCTCCCTCTGCGTGTATTTGTGTCCTGATCTCCTCTTCTCATAAGGACCCAGTCACATTGAGGTCGGACCCACCCTTGTGACCTCATTTTAACCCAATCGCCTCTGTAAGACCCTGTCTCCAGATGCCATCACGTGCTGGTGCTGGGGCCACTGTCGCATGCTGATCACCTGGCCTGTTCTCGGTAAGGGTCCCGTCAGAGGCTGGGCCCAGTGCCTCGGGGTGTCTCCTCCATCCACCCTGAGGCACCTCGCCTGCTCTCTGGCCTCCGTAAGTCACACGTTTGGGGGCTGTGGTCAGAGTTGCGCCTGACCTCCCCCCTGCTGGGCTGGTTCCCTGGAAAAAGTCCCTTACCCCTGTTAGCAATGGGGTGAGTACTTTTTTCTCCCCAACGCGGGGACACAGTTAGGCCAAAATATCAACAACAGCTCTTCTGACCCAAAGAGGCAGCAAAGGCCTTGTGGACAGGCCAGCGCGTGGTCGGAGGCTCATTGTCACTGTTTTGAAATTATTAACAAGTTACGAGCAAGGGGTCTGAGTTTCAATTTGTGCCGGGCCCTGTGCCTGTCCTGCCCTGACGTGCCTGGGCCTGTGTGGCAGACTGAGGGGGCCGGGCAGGTTCAGGGTCCAGACGTTACCACCATGTGGGTAAAGAGCCTGCTGCCCGTGGACGTGCCCGCTGGGCTCAGAAAAGGCAGTATTCCTGGCCAGAGACTCAAGATAGCAAATCAGGACTGGAGATCCCGCCCGTAATCTGAACTGGACCGAACTCATGCCTCATAGGCGGACCTGGGACAGGCGCTCTGTGTCACCGACTGCGATCCGGTGCTTCGAGCACAGTTTTGAGGGCTGCACCTCCGCCGAGTTTTACGGGACTCTGAAAGCCCGTCTCGGTGGCCTCTCGCAGGGGCTGCAGGGACGTGCAGAGTTTCCCCAGCCGCCACCCACGCACTGGCCCCAAGGTGCTTGATAACAGGTGAACCCGCACGATGTGCTCACGCAGCCCAGCCAGGGTGCCTCAGCCCCCTGGAGAGAAATACCCGGCCAGCGGAAGCCCGTTCCCATGTGATGAGGACAGCTGTCCGCCCGTCCCAGAGCCACCGCTCTGTCCCTTTCTCAGCACACACTCCCTTTGTGACCATCCTTTGTCTAGTCACCTGCTCACTGCCTGCCGCCCCCACACCGTGTGTGTTGGGGGCAGGTCTGTGTTGTACATGGTGAGGCCCAGGTCTCCCAGGGCCGGTGCGGGGGCGGTTGCCAAGCACCTGCAGATTTAGAGAAAAGGACTTTGAAAATGAACGAAACATTCAGTATCCAAGGAATATTTTGAGAAATAATATTATAGCCACAGATTGGGACATCATCCAGACAATAAAAATGACAAGTACAAAGCTGGTGGGCAAACCAGTGAGTATTCATTTAAATTAAATTTGCTTACTTGTATATTTACATTTACATGTATAATATCTATGTATACACACATACATATACAGAGTACATATATATATATATATATATATATAAAGAAGGTATATAGAATGTACATGCACAGGGTACATACAAAAGGAGAATATGTGTATGTGTATGCATACACGCACATACGCGAGTGTGTGAATATGTGCACACGTACGGGTGTGTATGGGTGTGTGTACATGCGCAGAGAGAGAGAAACACCAGAAGAAAACACTGAACGGTGAAGACAAGCTGTTAGAGCAGGGATTATAGGTGACTTTTCTTTTGTAAAGTGTTCCGTCATTCAGACTGTTTTTAAATAACTGTGAAAGCCCGAGTCTTGAAAGGCACCCACTTCGTGCCAGGCACGCGTGCTTAGGGCTGGGAGCCCATGGGCAGGGATCGCCCGCCCCCCGGCCGGAGCCCAGGCCTGCCAGTCTCCACAAAGCCTGTGCAGGAGGGAAAGGGTGGACAAGTGAACGAATGAGTGAGCGAGCACTGCCTTGCCATCCCACGGTTCAGAGTGGTGTTTCCCACTGCAGAGCTGGGGCTTTGGCTCCCTGTTCCCTGAAGAGCCCTCATGCTGCCAATGGGCACCGACATTACACAGAGGTGAGAGGCAGCCTGGGAGATGGTGGGGCAGCGGCCCTGCCACAGCTACACGGGCGCTTGGGAGGGCAGGGTGGCACACCTCCATGCGGGGACATCTGACCCTGGCTGGCACCTCCACTGTCCCACCCTACGTCCCCAGGCTTTCTGGTTGGGCCCCAAACACCCTACAGACCTGTCCCCTTCTCTCCCATCACCACTGGCCAGCACTACTCGTGCCTCCGACGATAGCCCCCCACCCCCACTGCCTCTGCCCCCTCCCTTCCTTTCTCCACCCAGAGAAACCTTCCGGAAGCCCCGTCAGAGGAGGGGATGGGGTGGGGGGCACGTGGGGCCATTTTACTGATCTCTACTCGAGTGCACGCAAAACCCGCCACAGCGAAATGGGGAAGCCAGCCCAGGAGCAAAGACAAGACCCCACCGACAGGCCCTCCGGCCTCCCCCAGGCTGCAGGCAGGTGATCACAGCTGCCAATTCAGCCTGCAGCCGCATCTGCTGCCAACCTTCCCAGAGGACACATCTCAACACTCACTGTTGACCCACGTCACCTCCCCGGGTAGGTCCCCGTGTCAGACTCTGTACCCTATTTGCAGCACCCGCGTCTCCCGGTGGCCCGCAGACCACGAGCCAGGGACAGGCAACCCTGGAAGGGGTCTTCCTTGTGGCTGAGGTGCAGGCATTCTGGATGCTTCCACAGCAGGTGCAGATGACCAGGTTGGGCAAGTTCAGGGCTGGGGTGGGCAGGCCGGGGGTCTCCCAAGATGTCTGCAAGCCAACTCCCATGCCTCGGTGTTCAGAAGATCCCCAGGCCAGCGTTGGGTGGTTCTGAGGCCTCAGCAGATGTGCCTGCCGGGGACCCTACTTCAGTGGAGGGGAGGGGGCCAGCTGGCGGAGGAGTAGGTGCGGCCCCTCCGTCACCCCAGCAGAGGTCGGGAGGTCTGTTCTTGGGGCAAGCAGAGTGTCCGGACCCGAGAGAGCCACAAACAGTCGAGGCAGCGGCTCCACACGGAACGCGCGTGGCCAGGTCACCACAGGCAGGACGGTGAATGTCGGGACTCATCCTATCTCTTCATTCAGCTCCAGACAAGAGACTAGAAGCTTCTTCCCTTGAGTCTGACCAGCCTAAAAGGACAATGTCCCCGAGGGGGGGCCCGGCAAATGGCCCCACAAGCTCCCCTACCAGGCTCAACGACTGTAAATCCCCTGTCACAGCCAGAGGCCTCACTGCTTAATCACAGACACCCAGGGCCCCCAGACATTCAGAAGGCCTCTAACGTGGCTGGGACCAAGACGAACAAAAAGAAATAAGGCTGAGTGGATGAAACAA